GAGATCGTTTGCCGCATCATGCTCGGCTCACATGATGAGCATGATATAAAATTAACGACTTCAATTAGAATTTTGAACAGTTATTGACTTACTAGACTCACGCAGCATTTCTTTATTCTTGACTTTAGTTTTAACGATTGATGAAATAATTTGCAAGAAGATAAAACTTAATGAATTTAACTTTTCACTCGAAAACCCAAAGTATATATGCCGCTCTGGAAAATTAGGATTCAGAGGGTTAACTTACGAGAAAATCACACGGATCTTTAAATTTTAATACTCTGTGATTATAGATATATAATAGACGTGTCAGAGATTTTATGTCAAGCAATCCCGCTCTTTTTCTATTCTACCCGCAATAATTGTCGCGTGCCTTACCATGTTTAATACATGATCAGCTGGCCATGCGCAGACGAAAACTTCTATAAGCGCAGACACACCGAGGGCCAAAAATTGACCTTTTATAGTAAACGGTTGTCGCTGCACAGAGTAACGTTATTAATGCGAGTAACGCGGTGTTTCGTCGACGTAATGTGAGATGATATTCAGGTAACATTTGCTACAGCTTTTATACAGGAGCCAAAAAGAGTACCGCACATGCGATTGAACGAGTGAAGTGCACGATACTCACGCTCAAGCAAGTAAGTCCACTAAAGACTACCGCGACGGTGCTGCATGCTATCGATGTCACTACCACATATCGAACGGTCATAGTGACATCTCTTGCGTATCTGAAATTTATTGAATTAATATCATTTATTTATATTTGTATTAATTATATGTATATAAATAATATTATATTAAATATACATTTCTATCAGTTTAATTTAGTTATTTTTATTTCGCAAGTTTTCATTTCAAGTACTGTAACGAAGTATGACAATCGAACCTGCCCCCTATATTGTACCGTAACGACTGAATGCGTCTTACTTCAGCAGCTGTTGGTGCAGCTGTATGCAGCGTATAAATTCTGAGAAATTCGTCGCTTTGCGAAATTCGCCGGACAGGATCTCGAAACGCGCCGCGATGAACCAGAGCAGGAGAGCCACGAAGACGTTGGCACACACTTGCACGTAACTCTGATACGCGAGCATTATGTGGTGAAGATAGATGATGGTCTTCAACGGCTGATCGTCCGTGCAAAATGGATAGTGCACTTCGAACGGAAACGGCTGCGGCAACAAGAAAGGGCCGAAGTTCACAGCGACAACCGCAATCGTTACACAACATAACGTAATGCCGTAGAAAAATTTGCATTTGTCGACGTATCGCTGAAGGACCTTCTTCTCTTCTGATTTCGCTTGTTGAATGTAAGTCTCCATTTTGTCTATTATTACCTGCGCAGAGATGCGATCCGACGGAACGAGTCTTCTATATGTCAATTAGAGATCAGAGTCGCGTGTCTTCGTCTGATCTTCATTCGCCACTTTTCAAACGATTGAAAAACGACGAATGAAGAAACGAGCGAACAAACGAACGCATTTGCATTGTGCAATTGTATTTCTTTTCGGTTTTTATGCAGTTATGCGCACTTCTCACCCCGATCGATTCTTCCCGTTATTTTACGCTTATGCGAAAATACCGAAATGTTAATTATTACGGTTTCTCTCAAAATCGCCGCGCACAGGTTAAATTCTTCCGTATTTGTGAGAAGCCTCAAATTTATTCTTTTTTTCTTGTGAAGTTTACTCTTCAGTTCTATCAGAAGCAAGACTAAGGAGGAAAAATTATACGCTTAGAATTGAACATGAAATAATCTCTGTGACTGGCAATATACTCTGATGATTATTCTAATAAACAACAGCTAACAGTAACATTAATTCAATGTTATAATTTCTCTCTCAACAATGTTAATACAACATGTTGTATATAATAGTTGTATATAATACTTGTACATAACAGCTACGTCATTGAGTGGGAAAATTATAACATTATTGTAATATTACTGTTAGCTGGTATTTACTGGTTATAGAATTGCGATAAATTATAATCGTAATTAATAACGAAATCTTTTTCCAACAAACTTTCAAATCGTTCATCTGAGAATCAATGTAAATCGCGTTTATGTCGTGAAGAATTTGAAGAATAAATGCGACGACTAGAAATGTTGTGATCACAAAAGTAACGATGTTATAACGAAATAATTAATTGAAATGAGTATCTGATCAACAGTATTCGATATTATTAATGTATCAGAACAAAAATGTCGATACCGATACTGATATCGAAATTAAAAAAAAAAACTTAAAATTAGAGGAAATATAAAAATCAGAGAAGTGTTTATCTTGCAGGCTACTTTTTACTAAGTAAAAAATTAAAAAAGAAGGACATCGAAACAAAGTGGTACTAATATGGATAAGAAAATCGCAAGAAAATATCCATACATCAAGATACCCAGTATTGAGAGAGAAATATTGATGCCAGTATTATATTAGTAGTGTCACAACATTTCCAGCGACGACATCAAGAATATCTGAACAGAACTCTGTTGAAAGTTTCCAGATAGGTTTCTACGAAAATCCAAAGGAACTCATGTGAACTCATATAGGATATTAAAAATCTATATCGGAGGGAATCCACATGGTGTGTAAAAATCCATATAGGAATCCACGTGAATTATTATCTACGGCCTGGATTTCTTACCCAAATCCCCAAATGGGCAATTGTAAGGTTCCATATGGATTTCCTATACGGATTCCCACTTGGTTCTTTTTTTTCAACAGAGAGGCGCGTGGATCTTTACTTGCAGACGGTCGCTCTCCATCGTGAACAACATAATTTGTATTGGTATTTGTACACTGGCACTCAGCTCACAGCCCACTTTCATAACGAGCATTATATTGGTATAATCGGTGAATAACGTATATAACAACGCTATCACCATGAGCGTGGCCATTCAGGGAGCACAAGCACCGAAACACCTTGTCCCAAATCCTCTGACTTCTCGTGGCTTCGGCCACGAGCGGCCAACAGCAGGCGAATGTGCGATCCACCTTAAGAAAAGCGATGATGCGCTCTAACGTTAATCTCCCGCTCATGATAACTTCAAAGAGAGCTGTCGGCGAAGAAAGGATAACGGATAACTTCAGGCATCGAAATTCGCGCTCGACTGTCTCTAGAATTTCTTCCGGCTATCCGAAGCGGGGGAAAAAAAACGAAGGCACGAGCGAGGAAAACGCTCGATTTCACCCTCGCGCATTACGCATTCATTTATATTTCATGCACGTATCTCGCATCTAATACTTTTCTATTTCTAATAGAGGAGAACGCGCGAGGTCGAAATTACCTTTACAGTGAGATTGTGGCGGAAGCGCGAGCTGCTAGCGATGAATTATTTAGCGGGCACGGTTTACAGAGAGGGTAAAAACTTGAGGGACGAGTTGACGTGGATGTACTAATGTTGAAGTATTGCGTTCATTCGCATCAACACATCCTCGATGATGACGTGCAACGGTCGTTCGCACTCGCGTCGTGAATGAATATCGTGAGCATTTGCAAAATGAAGATCCTTTCGCGATTATGCGACTCTTTCTACATTTTTATATTCGGATTCGGACTCGGCGAGTCGAAAGAAAATATTCCACCTACGGTGGAAAAATGCTGTAAGTATCGGAAATATTACGTCACGATTTCCCTTCGGCTCGACTCGGATCGCAGACTGTAACTGTGGACGAAGCAAAATACTTCGTGAACTATTGCGTGACGTAAATTGTATATCGTAAGTCATTTTGTTGTGTGTCACGATGAAGAGGCTCCAATAATTTATCAACAGCGAACGAAGGTAACATTTTCGTAACCAGGAAGTCCGACTCGAAAAAAATCGTGCGTCTAACTTTTCTTCGCTAAAATATATATAATGATAATTATATATATGGGAAATTTCCTTCCCGGCAGATGTTGTATTTTTGAATATGATAGTTTGATAGCAGATCAAACAACCATCATTCTCAGTCATATTTCAACGGTGGATCGGAGCAAGCGGGCGTTTTACAGAAAACATGAATAGAATGAGAGGTAAAAGACGTCTATTGCAACATATACATAGATATATATGTACACATAAGAATACATATATATGGAGTCCCGCTATTTATGCGCGAGTCGATATCTGCTATATAGTACTAAAATGCATAAAAATACATTTTCCTCTCTCTTACGCGCACATTAATATAAAAATTTAGTTCTTCCAGTTTGATTCGAAACTCGCTTAGTGTCTGAAACTTTTGTCGCTATAACCAAATAATATATATATATTTTTTTTGTTTCGCATACTATGTCGCACAATCGGTACAGTTTCCGACGTCTCAGCATTTCGCACGACTATAGGTGCGGTGAGAATCATTATCGAGGACGGAACAATCCGTGGACGATGTAGAGTCTGTAATAATTTACGAAGGAAGTCCGTGATGTTTTTCGAGTCCTGCGCCAAAAAACTGTATCAAACATGCTGATAATAGCTGACAACGCAAATACTCAGAGAGCTATAAGACTCATATATTGTTATAGCACTGATATACTTATTTAGTACTTGTGAATTCCTCTATAATTATCAATAAATTATAAAATATAACATCTATATAAAATAAGATTCGTGTCTTTAATGAATATACTTAATGAGCCTCAAACGGTCATGTTCTCGTGGACATTCTAATGTTTCTTCGGAAGAAAAAAAAAAGGATAAGGAATAACTGTTGGTTACGATCGAGATATTAGTGATTAATGCGATGAAATGCATGTATATATGTATATATACGGTAAATGCGATGAAAAATTGCAGTCTTCCGATTATATTCCTATCGTTATTTTGATATAGCCAATTATTGCGAGTAGTTATACGCATGGTTCCACATAATTGCCCGGGAATAACCCAGTTATTCCGTCCATCACTCCCTCCCACCATCCGTCGTCGTTTTTCTTTAGCACATAGATCACAGAACTTTCTTGGAAACTCAACTCGTCTTCCTTATCCGCATAGTAGTCATAGATGGCGACCACTGTACAACGAAAATGCATAGTCACATAGGTATAAGAATTACTGTAAATACGTTTAACACACTAGGATGCGGAGGACGAATCTGCGGTTTTACCTTTCTCGATGTAATTCTTCGGCACCCAACCGGGCAAATCCTCCTCATCCGGCACAATCGGCATTATAGCACCAGTAGACGGGGTGGGTCTACCGAATTGCGGATGCTCCTCCTGTTCAGGAGGTGGTGGCGGTGGCAGAGGAGGACTACTCGCGCCGCTGCTACGACTGATTTGATGCGATAATCTATGTGGTAGAGTATGATGTCCGCTATATTCCGCCATATCGCCGCTTAGTCCGACTAAGGGTGAAGGAGGTGCTGTGGTGGCAACATACATTTACATCCAAATAGCAATATCGTAAAAAAAAGAGAAAACGTCACACACTTCTTGCACACCCCCTGCTGCGTGTGTCTCCCGACGAGTCAATTGTTCTTAATATTACGTAACTTTGATAAACGTATTATTTATCACTTACGGGGCATACTGTTGTGCTGTTCCTGCACGTATCCAGCTGTAACGCTAGGCGGTGCCGGCGGTGGCGTCTGCGGGTGACTCTGCAGGGGATGCACCGTTCCCACTTGCGGCATAGTGGCCGCATGTTGACCGATGGTACCGGTGTGCGCGTTATGATTGGCGTTATGAGCCGTGTGGGACGTGTTGTGAGCATGCAACGGTAGTGTGCTGTATCCCGGGCCGCGATCTCGCCGGGGGTGGCCGAGCGGGTAATTGGGCGCGTAATGACTAGGAACTTGGGGTGGGGCTACCGCTGGTGGAGTCCTATATTCGCGCGATCCTTTACTCAACGTTCCTATGCACAGAGAATTTGGCGATTTATTCGTGGTAACACCTTCTCGATCTCCGTGTCAGAGAGACAGATAAAAACATCGGATGGTGTAACAGATGGGTAGGTGTAACATTCAGAAGAAGCTGAAAGAACGAAGAGACACATAATCGTAGAACAAGTGTGTGCTCATGCAAGCGAGAGAAGCAGTAAATACCTTTGCATTTAGCGAAATGATTTTTTTTTTAATTTTTTATAACCGCAACTGAAAAAGTACACCTTTACAAGTTTGTGTAGCACTCGTACGTTTCTTAGCGTTCATGCAGGGTGCCCCAGGATGCCCCCGGGACACCCTGTACATACGGGATGTTTGATAATTGGTGAAGTCATCATTGGTATCCATTGGCAATCCTTATGGATGACGCTCTGGATAAGAAATTCTCACTTATCCTTTCTATAGCGACAAATATCAAGCATCCTGTATGCATTTGACGAATGTATTTGTGTGTAATTCTTACCAGTTCTCACTGTCTGAGGTGGCGTGGGTGGTTTGGTGGTAGGAGCAGGCCCCACCATAGCAGCACCTAATCCTGAGCCTGTGGAGGTAGCACCTAGACTCTGAACGCTGCCTTGACTACCTCCACGCTGCTTGCTTCGTGGTGTGCCACAGCTACGTACTCCGTGTCCGATCTCATCCAAGATTGTGTAGTCAATGCTCTTCCTGACATATTTGATCGGTTTTTCCGGATTCGCAGGCGCAATAATCTTATACTGGCGAGTCGCCACTTTGTTAGCTGTCAATACACCAATCTCCCTCCTGGCAACCTTTTCCTTGTGTATCATAACTGTTTGAGCGATATGATTCATCTGGCTCTCCATTTCGGCAAGCTGAGACGTTTGCAAGTCCAGCAACTGAAGGAAATTATAAGCCAGAGTATTTATCTGATATGCAACGCTAGCTAAAGACTGGGTGGTGTAATTTTTGGTTTCCTCCAATGCGATCCTCTTGTTCTCTGCCTGAAAGTAGTTGGCCTCGCAGTATTCCGCCACTCGTTCCAAGTTTGTGTGGCTGTCGGCCAGATTGTTCCTTCCCTCCGGGATTTCATGTCGCAGAAGAGCCGCCAATTCTGCCATGACTTCAGAATCACTGCCAACTCCCGTCGTCACGCAGTAGGAACTGGATCCTTCTCATATAAAAAGAAAATATTCGTATTACACAGAACAATAGTATGCCTAAAACAGTGAGAATTCATCATGATAATTTTTCTAAGAAGAAGCACAGTTGTAGAAGTATAAAGTAAAATTAAGATACAAAGGCAGTCGCGCGAACTTAATAATGATCAAATCATACGATTAACGTTATCTTTATAAAGCTAGATCGTCTCAATTGCTTTTACCCGTGCGCAAAGCGATGTGTTAATTCCCAAAGATTAGTGTCACTCGCGTATCTTCGCTGAACGAAACAATCGGAGCGAAAGATTAGATTATGACATTAGGGGCGTCGTCTGAAGGGACACGGGAACCAAAATGGACACCACCAGCGAGGTGATGTTTCTGCTTACGACCATGATTGATACGACACAACGGTAAGACGACACGAATGACGAACGACAACTAGATAAGGGAACATAATAGAAAATCAACTAACGGTACTCAGCCATTATCGCAATTACCAGCTACTACAGCCTCATTAATTCATAATTACCGGAGCTCCCGAAAATCACATATAAAAAAAACTGAGAGCACAAAAGTGACGTTGACAAGCGACACTATACGACGCAAGAGCGCATGCGCTCAATGACAAGGTTGAATCGCATGAATATTGCGGTACGGAAACAAATAAAGTGTTAGATGTCGCTTCTTATCTGCCGCAGCCAATCATTGCTCGTATGTGTCCCCGTGTCATTGGGTGCATCCAGAACTACAATCGCTCACTGAGCGCTCTGTGAACTTTTTTACATTTGATTGGCGTATCTTCTTAATTTTAAAGATATAAACCAATCAGATGCAAGAGCTCACTGAGCGCTCACTGAGCGGTTGTAGCAGTAGTGAATGCACTCATCGCAGTCTAAGTAAGTTCGTGGAGCGCACTATCAGAGCTAAAGTGTTATTCTATCTTTATCACTCATTATATGTAAAACAAAAATGGAATGATGCACATTGCTAGCACGTTTCCCGAACGCACTCATTGACAACCGTCGATAAATCGCGCATTAACCAATACATTATCGTAGTGTTTGAACGCAACTTAGTATTTCCGCCCGTCGATAGATCGCGCATTAACCAATACATTATCGTGGTGTTTGAACGCAACTTAGTATTTTCGCCCAGAATCAGGATATTGCCCATTTCAGCACGGGTCATAACACGTATTCGTAGATTTCTAAACGACAAGGTATCTAACTATCCTTTAAGCTCGTAAAATTGAATAAATTATTGTTCATAGTGCATGTATTATAACTCCAAAAAGATCGAATCGTAATTTGTCGCTTTTTAACTCTGACAGTAAAATGTCAGATCGATGATTTTCTTTTACTATTTTTATTTTTCTATCACTCAGTTGACCTTCAACCTTTTGTGAGAGAAGTTGACCTGTATCAGCTCCTGTAGATAAGTTTTCTCCATTTTATTTCAACGCATCAGGCCTCTGAGACTTACGATGTTGGTTGAATATAAATTCTTAAAGGTCTGGGAAACCTATAGTATCACTTGAGGAGCTGATCAGCAATAGGTCTCATAGGTCTTTGGCGCTATAAAGGTATACATTTTTTAGAAGATATACAAGAATCGTTTTCTTTTTTTATTAGGATTAGTAATAATGAACCCTCAATACGCCTGGAAATATATGACAGATGACGAAATAGTTACTGAATACAATGCAGTCATTTCTGACGAGGAATTTAGTGATGAGTCTGAGGATGATGAGGAAGAAGATAACATCGAATTCCCAGAAGACGCAGCATCTGAAGATTCTACAGATGATTCTGATGTTGATCTCGACTTTGAACCGAGCGTTTCTGATATTGAAGAAAATATAATTTCCACAATCAGAGAAATCCTTGAAGGACCTGGCACGTCTGTCCAGCCAAAGTTAGGACAAAAGAGAAAAACAGGAAAGACAAGAAAACAAACTGAGTATATCAAAACTACGGACGGGATATCTCTGAAAAAATCAAAATCTCTTGAAGATAAAGAAGTACCTCAACAAATTGGAGAGACTGAAAATGGAAAAGAGACATATAAGGTTACAATCGATGGAGAAGAGATATTGGGAAGAGATATGGAAACCAAATGGGTAAACAAAATAGGAAAACATAATAAAACATCACAAAAGAACATAGTCCATAAAAGAATTAATACGCTACACTCTGCTGCTGATGCCTATGAACCATTGGATTGCTTCATGGCCTTTTTTACTCCTGAAATAATAGGCACAGTTTTAGAACATTCAAATAAAGAAATGAACAAGAAGAAAAGCACATTTTCTCAGAAAAGAAAAAATAGTAGCACCTTCAAAGACCTTGTGAAAGAAGAACTTGAAGCATTCCTAGGCCTTCTTATTTTGTCAGGGGCCCTGAAAAACAATCATATTCCAGTGACAAAATTGTACAACCCAAGACTGTGTGGGGAAAGATACCAAGCTACTCTCTCGATAAATCGCTTTCGATTTATCAGTACTAGTCTAAGATTCGATGATCGTGAAACAAGGAAAGAGAGAAAGAAAACAAATAAATTTGCACTCGTTTCACAGATATGGAACATGCTGATCGACCAGTGTAAAAAAAATTATAAGCCAAGCTCTTATCTTACTATCGGTGAGCAGCTAGTAGGATTCAGGGACAGATGTCCTTTTCGTACGTACATGCCAAACAAACGTAACAAATATGGTATAAAGATTCTAATGATGTGTGATCAAGCAACACAGTATATGATAAATGCTATCCCCTATCTTGGTAAAAGTTCAACATCCGGCAAAATTTCTGCTTCCAGCCATTTTATAAAAACTCTTGTGGAACCTATGTCAGGATCTAATCGCAACATTACAGCTAACAGCTGGTTCACCTCCGTGCCTCTCGTAGAAGAACTTCTAGATAAATTCCAACTGACCTATATAGGAACAATAAAAAAGAACAAGCTTCAGCTTCCTTATCAATTTATAAATATCAAATACAAAAACCGCAATGTTGGATCTTCGCTTTTCATTTTCAGAAAAAACATGACTGCGGTTTCATATAAAGCCAAGAAAAACAAGCTGGTCACTTTAATCTCGACATTTCACAACGATGATGCTGTCAACACGTTGGGAAAGGCGGAAATTGTGTTAAATTATAGCAACACGAAAAATGCTGTTGACGCTTTCGATCAGATGTGCCAACATAGGAACTGTGGACGAAAAACTAAAAGATGGCCTGCATGCATATTTTATAATATGATCAACATTGCCTGTATAAATGCTTACGTTGTCTACGTACACAATTTTTACAAAAAAAAATCTCATGACCCATCATCACCTAGTGAAAAACAAGAGAAGCCACTATCTAGATTTGATTTTATGTTAAAGCTGGAAGAGCAGTTATCCCAACCATGGTTGCGAGAGAGATTGAAAATGCCTATAACGAAATCTTTACGACAGAGCATAAAAAGATGTTTACTAAATGGTGTACAAGAACCGACGAATGTAGAACAAACAAACGACGAGCCTGCGATAAAAAAACGGAGATATTGTACTTTTTGCGACTATAAGAAGCAAAGAAAGTCGAAAATGGAATGCGATCTCTGTAGAACACCCGTCTGTGGTGAACATTATAAAAAAATTTGCGCTAATTGTGATAGAATGTGATATACACGAAACAAAGTTCCATGTTTTAACTAAGTCATTTTCTTTTACAGATTTTATATATACGTAATTTTCAAAAAACTAAGACTGATTTAAAATGTAAAGACTTTTCAATGTGATCAATTTCTTCTTATTCTAGATTTGTTTGTGTTCAAATGAAACGCTTAAGAAAATTTTTATATTAAAAGTTTTAAGGAAGTTTTTGTGTTAAAATAAAAGATTTAAAAAAACTATTGAATTTTATTATGCAATCCTAAAACTTCAACAAATTATAAAAATAATTTCGGTAATAAAAATTAAATAAATTCTAGATTAAGAAAAAACAACTGTCCATGTAACTATTGCTATCATCAGTCTGAACCAACAAAATAATTGGTTCTCTAGCGGCAACCAGTCTACAAAGATAATAAATAAAAATTGACAATAAACTTAATAAACTAATTTTTAAATGACCGAAAAATACAAAATACGATTTTTACAATTTCTTTTTATATAGGAGGCGGTCTAGACTTGTATCCAAAATGGAAAGTTCCCAAGACGTTTTGAGTACACATACACACGCGCGCGCACACAGCTTATTTAAAAACTCCAGAATAGTCGCTATCACTTGTTTAATATCATCAGAAGCGAAGAAACGCATGTCAAGACTTTTCACTTTCAAATAAAAGATATGCGCACAAAATGACATTTGTGATCGATTCAGCATACCGGTAAAACTGGACAAATACTTTTCTTTTACTCGCTGTCTACAATCTACAATCAATAAATAGTCGCAAAATAAATTTTACATGGAATGTTTTTTCTAGTCTCTTTTCTCATGATTTTGCCAATATTAATTTTACAACTACTTATTAATTGTTCGAATAAGAAAAAAGTGTTCGTTTAATTTTAATCTAAGTTTGCCGAATTGATCATAAATGTTATTTTGTAAAATATATCTCTTTGATTGAAGGAATAACAACCTTGGCACCCGTTCTTTTCTTTCTGGCCTTGTTGAATTAAAATAGTCGAAGCGATTATTCCTTAGACTTCTGCGCAATACTACAAAGATAAACTAACAGCTTAGTAAGCATTACGTAGCGAAACATTCGATATCGCACGCAATACATATCTTTCATCTGTATCTTTATAAACTCGTATTTGCAATTAAGCGAATTATGCAAATATACTGATGCAACTATAATGCGCCGTAATAATAAGTTTGCATGTTTTATATAATGGAGAACACCTTGATTCAGTTAAGAAGATGAAAAGTCGCAATGATTGCTTATTTTATTGAACTTTGGTTTTTAAAATATTCCGTATTCACGTAGATGGTCTCCGTTGAGTCAATAGGATGACAACACGAACAAAAACAAAAGCAACAATTGCTTGTCTTATGTTCGACTATGGTTTCTTGAGAATATTCTGTACGCAATAGGTCTGTTCGTTTTCGTTGCACCACTGAACTAGTGCAATAAGTTGAAGTGAGAAAACATATATTTGTCTCGCTTCAACTTATTGCACTAGTTCAGCATCAAATGTCGCAAATGAACGTGAATGATGCAACAAGATTCAAAAACGGAGCGGAAAAAATTCTCTTCAAAGTTTGTTTGAGCTCTACGAATTTCACGATTAAGGATTTATCAGATAAAGTATCCGAGGTAAGCAAGGAACATTAAATTAACGTTTAGGAATATTGACTTTATGTGTACTTTTAGAACGTTTCTTAATAATATTACATGTACACTCTTAAATTATTATTTCGTAATACGATTTTTCTTAATGTTGTTAAAATATTTTACAATGTTACTTTGACATTTATTTCAGGCCAATGCGACAATTCAAAGTTGCTTATAATTTGGATTTAGAAATAACCAAGTGTTAATATATTAATTTTCTGTTATTATAATATTGTTTTTTATATTGTTCTGATGTGTTCGAATCTCATTGTTTCAAGCAATTGCGTATATGATAACCTAGATAAAAAGTATACAGGTAGCCACAATAACCAGCGGCTGCATGCTCTTATGATTAAATTCGTCTCGCACGTTCTCGTACTAAAATCATCATTCTATCTTCTTTTGTTCTAATGAGCAATAAAGCAATAAAGGTAGAATAATACTTTCGGCACGAAAGCATACAAAACGAACTTAACCTGTGTGTGGCCATGACCAGTCGATAAGTAGTAGACCACTACAAGAGTCCTCATTGTTGAAATAGTTGCGTATACGTGTCACTGCGCAGGTATAATTATACCAAAAAATAACTGCGCAACGACACTTACGTACACAAACATTTCAAGAATAGGGGGACAGAGTGGTCATAGGTATCATTGATAGTAATTTTAAATTTTATCGTTTCATCAATATTATTTCAAAAACATCATAGGAATGACGGAACCTTAGTGCAACGTTATGACACTTCCATTTCAACATCTTCGAAATCTCCAAATCAGGATCAAAGTATGTTCATCATGATGTTGTAATTAAAACATGAAATACGACATATTTGAAAACGTTACATATTACATGTAATATCGTTGTAATAAAATTGTAGTAATGATTTTTCGCTTATTGAGAATGTTATATACTACATTGTTGTTAACAATGTTTGATCCGGACACTAGAAACGATATTTCTACACTATGATTTTAATATTTAAGAATATTATATTATCGAGTAACACAGCTTGAAAACATTCGTAAAATATGAAAATGTTGATAAAATCCACGTTTTGAAAGATTGATTTGATACTTCATACTTACCGGGCCACCTCTTTCCTTTTCGTTCTCTCCTGAACGAGGATCTGCGAATCATTGCCACGTTACTGGATGTATCGAATGCAGCTGCATATCGATCGCTACGTCGCGAGATATCGTGCAAGTTACAAACTCGTACTCACGATTACATTGTGAATACATCATGCTTTCGGCTGGCCCGAGCGCTGCCGTGCGTTGCCATGTATATAACTATTTTACTACGAAGGGTACGGATTTCGTCGCAACCCCTGCGTAATAGTTCGACTGCGATTTAATTGCTCGTAGCAGTCGGAGCGCACGTATACCGTGTATGCCGTAGTCGCTGTCGCCGCCGCCACCACCATCACCGTCGTCAGCGATCGTCGGGAAGCCGGCCCGATCTCGGTAAGCGCTGCCTTGCCGCGCACAGGGTGTTCCGTACGTCAAAGACTTGCATCGTTACTTGTGATTACGAAAGAACGTCGCACGCGATAATTGCGCCGGTATTCGACGTGATTTCGCCCAGTCTGAATAACTGGAAACAATGTCCTATCACGATTTATTGATGTAGCTATTTTGGTATCTTTTTTATCCCAATGGTAATGATAAGATGCGGTCGGATGTCACGTTCCAACAAATATTGCTGTAAATTATAGATGGACGGCAAATAATTTTTATTAATATAATCGCGATACCATTGTGTTAATTTCTAAGTTGCAACATAGATTAAATTTCTCTGAGGTCAACAGTCAACAGTCATAATTTATTATTTCAGATTGGCACATTGGCAAAAATTGAAAACAGAAATAGCCTCAATGATCAGTAAAGATTTAAACGTCAAATTTGCACTAAACCGTATAAAATAACAATTTGAGAGGAATGATGGATAAAATGATCTTTGCTCCAAACAAAGCTTAGAAAGAAAACAAGATCTGTAAACACGTCACTTTATATCATTGGTTTCTGAACGATATATGAGAATGGATGACCTGTTGAAGGAGTTAGGTGCATTGAGGATCAGTGGCAATTTTGGTGATCAGAACTCATGGAGGCCATGTATAAATTTGATTCAGAAGAGTTTTGTACCACAGAAGACGGTTGGCGAGACTCGTCCCTGCGAGGAGAAGGACTTTAGGGAGTACAGGCTGGTTGTAGAAAGGAATTTGAATAATGTACGGTTTATGTTGCAACATATCCTGAATAGTTGCAGAGAGAGCCACTTATCATTGAATAACGATAGCATGGCAATAGCAAAGACATTCAGCATGAATCTACTGTTGCTTATTGGTGAACACAGTGAGAAAAGCATCTGGAACACAGCAGAGTGTGTCAACATTTCCAAAGAGTTAATTGCCAACTTTTGCGAACTATGGGCCTGCCAAAGTGTTTCCACATTCTTCTCAGAGCATGAAAATTTTAATAAGTTATTATTATTATTAAGACCTAAATTATTGAAAGATACTTGGAAGACTTATCCAGCAGCTGTCACATGTTACAGATGGATGTTGCACGAAGTGGAAGTAAGTCCACACCTTTTCCTAGATATATCGAATCTTATAATTGGCACTTTGTGTTAAATTATGCGTTCGTTCTGTCTCCTTGTTTTGCAGAAACCCATGTTGTTTAATCATATTATGGAAGTGCTACCTACCACACTGATCCTCGTAGATGACCATGTACCCGAAAACGTATTAATAGGCTTGCAATGTGTACATCTCATTATACAACACTCCCATATGGTAATTATATAATAAAAGTTTAATCGCTGTTTATTGCTTATACGTGTATCTATCCACTTGTCAAAATGTTACAGAAAAAGGGACTGATAGATAGCGGCTGTGCTCAAGTGATTTATCATGCCTTAAAACACTTGACTTATCAGAAAGAAGTGAAATACATCATTCCCTTGTACACCTGCTTAGCCAATCTTCTACCAACTATCGAATATTGGGACGACAAATCAGATGCGTTTGAGGTAAACCTCCAATCCCGCGTTTAGATCCGTATAGTTGCGACGCAAATTTCGAGCGTGATCGTAATTTTTTATCCGCCTTTACAGTGGACAGCGCGCGACGAAATTCTCTCTAATTTGATAGACAACATGGCATTCGAGCAGAATATCGAACTGCGACATGCATACATGTCCAGTTTACCTCAATTACTCACCAACATAGGCTGCGGCAAATGGTGCGAAGCGCTCGCTCGCATACTCGTCGAATATTGCGAACATCACACTGATTTAAGAACGTTGAAGGCAACATTGGAGGTAAAGTGTTTGCTCTGTTTGAAACAAAATGCTTAATCGTGTATTATTTTCGTCACTGACACTAATTCGCCTTAACATTTTACATTTCTTCACTGTCAATTAAATGCAGCATCATTATCGTAATAATGGATCGTGCGTATACTAACTTTCATATGAAATAAGTAATATGTCTTGAGACATTCTTTTTTCCCTTTTATCCCTAGACCGCCAAGGCTTTCCTTCTGATGTTTCATCTACGAGTAGCAGCACATTGTGTCAGTCTCTATACCGCATTTCTGAAGCTGCATTTTGACTTAACGGAAACGCCGGTGTTCGATCGGGAAATCATGCAGAATCTGGAGGATTGTATCTGTTTGTTGTACGATCGATCGCGAAACGTAGGGCGTGCAGTCTTAAATGACGATCGAATACGTCCAATATTCAGCAGCGCCATGCCACTCGGATGCCGAGGCGATATCACATATTTCGAATAATTTATGAGATCATATGCCAGCGTGCATCGGAATTGTATATATAATATATTCTAATATATATGCGAATGTTTACACACACACACACACACACACACACACAACATATATACATACAAGTATTATTCTTGTGTAAACCCTTAAATGCATAGAGAAGTGAAATGCAATATAGTATTTAGATATTTTACTTGTAATGTAAGATCCTCTCAATATACACAGTCGTCTGTATTTGTAAACGTTTTTTTTTTTTTCGTTAGAATATATTTCTCTTAAATATCCTTGTGTGTGATGCGTGTTTTCATATAATTATATCTGAAGATAATTATGCTGTAACTTCTAGAAATAACATTTGTATATAATTTAAAGCTATACAAATTTTTCAAAATATAGCGTAAAAATTTGAATTATATCTCGAATATATAAAATTACGTTAATGAATAAGTTTTATTTGCGATATAACTTATTAACAGATGAAGGATTCACTAGTTATCTACTACGCTCACTTCACTGGAGTTTTTATTGTCTTTTTTTTCTTTCTTTTTTTTTTCTAAACAAGCTAAAAAGTTTCCTTCAGTTATTTAACCTATTTGCATCATGACTCTACTTAAGTTTCTGTGTTCAGACATCAGCGGCGTTCAACCAACTGACGATTGGCTCGTATCACCGCGCGCGGCCATATATCGGCAGTTTTATTTATTATTTATTTTATTTATTATTTATTCATTAACTTTTACAGTACACAGTAAACTGTAAACTTCAAAATAACAGAAATGAATGTGCAAAGCTTCTTTAAAACGTTTATAACTCGCTTACATCTCGTGTAAAACTCGTTTAATAATTTCCAGTCATCATAACATAGTAATTATCTCAATAACCTCTGCGTGGAATGGATCAATTAAGTGAACAATTATATAGTGACTGACATGCTCCGCTCTTTTATGATGCGCATGATTACGACATATATGTACAGTTGTGCATGTATGTATGTATATAAATACTTTGAAGATTGCAAAACTCGGTAGTTTAGTTGAAATTGTTTGCCTAAGCATGTCTCCGTTATTAATCGCAGTTGTCGTGCTGTTATTAGCGTTTAAATTTTATAAGTTTTCGTGTTATAAACCACCGAATTCACCTCCAAGTAAATTGATACTACATTTATATAATCTTGATAAATTTTATGCACGTATTGCAATGACGTTTTCGTTTCTAATTCAAAATGTTTCTTTTCAACTTTGCCTTTTAAAGGGTCCAGTAGCAAAAATATTACAATAATTAACATTATAATATTTCAAACTTCTTTCACACACAATATGTACGTAAGTGCCCGTGTATGCTTTATTTTCCACTGTTGAAAATAATAGTTATTTGAAATATAGTAACTCATATGTTAGAGAAGTGTAGTAACTTATATATTAGAGAAATTTTTTAACTATTACATCACCTGTTCAAAATTTCCAGGTGGGTTTCTACAGAATTTCAACGAAAATCATGTGAATCCATATAGGATATTAAAAATCCATATAAGGATTCACATGGTGTGAAAATCCATATAGAAATTCACATGATGTGGAAAAATTCATATAGGAATTCACATAGATTCTTATCTAGGATCTGAGTTTTGGTGCAAATCCCCAGTAACAACCGTAAGATTTCATGTGGATTCTATATGGATTCCCATCTGGTTTTTTTCAACAAGGTACTTTTCACTATATTATTGTTACATAACATATTTCTCTATGATGTGTGCAAGACCGCCATTGCAGTGCGAATAAAATTCTACTTGAAAAGGAATATTTTTCAATTCTACGTGATTCAATTACAATATTCAAGGTTGCCACAGACCTACAAAATCGGGAAAAGTCATGGAAATTTAAAATGTCATGAAAAACCTGGAAAAGCCGAGAAAAAATGTAAAAAATTCTGAAATTTTTAACATTGTCTACAATTCCCTTAAACGTTCTCAACTGTATTCTTTCTTCCAATATTCATTTTATGTTGGCTTGAATTTGCATTCTGGATTATATTATGTTACTAAACTTTTAGGTTTGTGTTACTTTTCTAATAATATAAGTTTTTCCTGCATTACCTGCTTTCAAACATAAAAATTACAAATTAATTAATTTAATTAGTTTAAAATTACATATTCCCCGTAGAAAATTCTCCACTATCTCCTGGAAAAGTTGAGGAATATCAGAATTTATTTTCTGTGGCAGCCCTCCAATATTACAGTTATTAACCACAATTATAATTATTATATTTCGATATCAGAGAATAACAACGATTATTTGCAATTCTGAAATGTTTTTGACATAGGTGTTTTTAGAATTCCGATATCAGGATCTTACTTGACATTACTGTTGAGAAACTACTCCTTCCCATATAACACTGTCGAATATTATGCAAAGAAGCTGAAAACAAAAATCATCGGCTATTACTTAGGTTCTTTTTGGGTAGTAGTAGCTAACGATTATGCCAACATAAAGGAAATACTCAAGAGGGGCGAATTCAATGCTCGAGTTACGGAAGTGCCAATTATAAAAGACCGATCTTTTGGAAAGATGTTGGGTAATAAGAGAAAATGTTTCTATTGTCAAATTCAATTATACGACGTATGACTTTTTTTTGTAAATTAACGTATTTTTTACCTTCTTCCCTCTAAAGAAATATGTCTTTAGTTCATAAGATACAGTTTCACGTCAATGAAGATAGTAGACTTTTTCCTTCGCACGGCATTTATAATTAATTTTAGTATAAAATTGTAGGTATAACTTTCACCGATGGTCCATTATGGCGTGAACAGAGGAGATTCTTTCTTCGTAATGTACGGGATTTCGGATTCGGACGGCGACAGGAAGCCTTCGAGAGAGAGATTTTGGACGAAGTATCTCTGCTTATCAATATCTTAAAACACGGACCCATTTACGATGGAGAAAAGGTACGTCTATTCTAATAGATAAAGGCCGTTTCACGAAAAGATGATCAGGTGGAGAGAAGAAATAAAAAATCTTGTTCTTCGTAGGAAATAATAAAAGGCAACTTAGCGCTCTTTCCAGACATTCTTTATTCGACAATAGGTAGTTCTTTGTGGAAGGTTTTATTCGGTCAAAGATTTGATAGAACCGAACACGACATTCCACGGCGGGTATGTCGCCTATCCATGATGTTTGTAAGATCGCTCGAATCGACAGGTGGTGCGATCTTTCACCTACCTTTTTTAAAATTCTTTGGAAACATGTTCGGATACAAAAATGTAATAAAATCAAATTATTTGGTAGCAGATATCATCCAGGTAAATCCTTTTATCAAATAACGTATATAATCGTAGGTAAAAAATGTATTGAAAACCTATATGTGAAACCTATTTTTTGGAATAAATTTACGCTGGAAGAGAAACAAAGTATTATATTGAGTACACACTTCGATGGAAGCGTTTTATTGTAATTCTGCATTTTTGTATTTAGGAATATTTGAAATCCCTAGAGACAACTTTCGGCGAAAATGTTGATAGAGGATTCGTCGACAGATATCTGAACGTATTGAACAAAAACGATAAATCGCAATATTTCTCAGAGAAGCAAGTAATCATGATGCTAACTGATGTGATGCTGGCTACGTGCTCTACCATTCCAGCTACTGTTACCCAAATTATCAAGTTCCTGATAAACCATCCTATGGTCTTGAAGAAAGCGCAAGATGAGATAGATAAGGTCGTTGGCACTGGACGTTTGGTGACATGGGATGATCGAAAGAAGTAAATTATTATTTGTTTAAGGCAATTATAACATTCCCCATATACAGCATATGATATCCTATGGACTTTCTGTGGACATCTTTAGGACATCGGGATGTCCTCAGGACATCCTCAGGGCGTCTTTAGGAGATCTGTGCTGTCTGGATCTGACCTCAGGGAACACATAAAAATATCAGTTTTAGTTGCAAATATCTTAATTCTCAAATGGTCAATCTTTTTCTAATTGCACGGACAATTAAATAATATTTCAATGTATGTGTAGGTACAAGTTTGAATTCTCTCAAGACTCGCTTCATGATACAACTGCTTCAAATGCACGTGATACTGAGTATCTAGTAATAATCGTGTGAACAATGAAACAAAATAAATACAGTAAGATACAGGAAGTCATACTATCTCTGATAGCACATGTTGATTTCATATATACGTTTTATAAACATATACCAAATTTTATATCACTGTTTATAAAACAAAGATGTTTCTTAAGCAATATGTACTACTTAAGATACTTCTTTTATCACTTAGTTTCATTACACTTTTGTTTTCATTTAATGAATGATATCCCAGAAAGCACAGAGAGTTAAAAAAAAATTCACAAGAATTTAAAGAATTTTATGAAAATAATTCTTTTTGCAGTTGAAAATGAATTCAGAATTGGTGACATACAAACGAATTCTTTTTGAATTCTGTTATCTAGGATTGCTTCTATTAATATTATTAAAGAAAGCGTTCTGATTACTTTTATGTAGAATTTATGTTTCATGACAAAGTCTCTCAGACGAAGAGGCGCCGTAGAATTATAGAGTGGTATTCATAGTCGGATCTTATACGAGGAGTGTTCAAATTTCAATTATAATTTATTATTTATTCCAAAAATAACATAAGAGAAGTAATTTACATATTGTCATTTCTCAATATAGTTTCCCTCCTTTTCAGTGCACTGGCGCGGTTTTTCCGATAAATCCCGTATTTCTTGAGAAAATATTCTTCTGGCTGCAGACGTACCCACTTTCGAACAACTTCTATGACCTCTTCATTGGGACGAAACTTTTTCCCCCTTAGACACTCTTTTAAGAGTTCAAACGCATGGAAATTAGAGAAGGCAAAGTCCGGACATTTCTCCTTCATTCCTTTTTCTTCATATTGTGTCAATAGTAAAGGAATCATCTGCAAGCCTATCTGTTTTCGTCTATTATCATTTGTAGAATTCAGTGCGCGCATACTTTTCGATAATGAAATTTATTTTTGATACAGCTATCGACACTGATCTTAAATGTAGAAGCAATATCCCGCATCCGTAATTCGACGATCATTTTGAATAAATGTGTTAATCTTGTCAGCCATCTCTTCTGTTGTCGATGTTTTCAGGCATCGAGAGTTCATTCTTGACACGTTCTCGGCCATCTCTGAAAGCTTTACTCCTTTTATAGACGCTTATGTCTGACAACGTTTCTTCATCAAATTGTCTTTTAAGTTTTTCTTAAAAATTTCTGATGTTTTCGCGTTTTCTTTCGTAAGAAATTTAATAATAATCGTGAATCGCTAACTGTTGCGAATTTTGCAAAATGGTATATTACTTTTCTGCTCAGTTTCATCCATTCTACTTGTATACCACGGGAACCGAAATTAGTTTGGAACATCCTATAAGATCCGACCGTGGATATAGTTCACGGACTTTTATCATTGATTTATGTGACGTTTTACGTTGATTACAGTTTGCCTTACACAGAGGCGGTGATCCGCGAAACGATGAGGATAAATTCATTGCTTCCGCTCGGCATATTTCACAGAGCCGTCAAAGATACCACTCTAGGAGAATACACGATATCGGCGAATACACCAGTTGTAACTAATTTAGCAGCGATGCATCATGACCCCGACCTATGGGGGGATCCGGAAAATTTTCGACCGGAGAGATTTATAAACGAGAACAACGAACTAAGCAAAGATATGTCACTGCCTTTCGGTTTAGGTGAGTTGATATATAGAATGAGGCAATAACTTGGAATATCTTCGAAAAGTAAAAATATTTTGTTAACAATTGGTTGAAGATGAAAAAAGTTTATATTCACAGAAGATGGTCGAAGTGACGACCATTATTAATTAATCAGTATTATATTAATGCAATTTTTGCTGGCTGAATTTTTCTCCTATTCTCATATTTCAAAGATATTCAAAGTGATGATGTATTGTCACCGCAACCGCAATTCGCGTCCGCGTCGGTTGCGGGACTTCTTCGCTTCCGCGTTCGCGCGGCAGTGGACCCACCTCAGCTGGCCCAGTTTATTTCGCCAAAGGTGCATCGAATCCTTCGCCATTCCTCGTGGTAGAGCCTCGTGGTTCTTAAACGTTCTTCCTCGATTCCGCGGACACGTCGGGGAGGGGCCGGGAGAAGTAATAACTTGGAGACCAGTTATCAATTCCACAATTAATAATCGTAAACCGAAGGTGATATCGGAATAACGATTCTTGAATTAGCCTGAGTTCTTTCATTACTGGCAGCTAAATTCAATACCGCGGGAGATTCCGTAACGCGATCAAAAGGGAGCGATCTCTCGCCTGAGATGTTCCGCGAGATGCTTTATGCGGCGGATCGGAACCGCTCGACGGCAGCTATTCTAACGTGCGTCGTTTTAACGAAAAAAGCTCTCTTGCCCGGCGTCGTTATCTCGCCGGGTTTTCCCTTTGGCCGCCACAGCCGGGTCTTTCCCGACAGNCGGCAGCTATTCTAACGTACGTCGTTTTAACGAAAAAAGCTCTCTTGCCCGGCGTCGTCATCTCGCCGGGTTTTCCCTTTGGCCGCCACAGCCGGGTCTTTCCCGACAGTGGTTTCTCTGCTTCCGGCCAATCGCGTACAATCCGATCTAGCTCTTCGCCAGAAGAGCAGTTTCCACGACAACCATACGACCTCCTAACACGGCTCAATATATAATATACAATGCAATACCGACAATCTATAATATACAATACATCACCGACAATATATAATATACAATACAATACATACCGACAACAATTTTCCGAGGACTGTGCGACCGGCAACTATAGAAGGCAACCGAGTTCCGCGCCCGAGTCTCCGGGATCCCTACGCTCGAGACTCTCTCGAGTACGGCCCTTGTCGCCCTGCGACGTAGCCTCCTCAACGAGTTTCCGCCTCCTCCTCGACCAGGTCACGGCCTGAGTGACGAGCAAAAATTTGCATCGTCACAGTATATAATGTTTTACTTCCTCTGTACTGCAATTGCGGAGAACTCCGAAAAGATCACATTTTCATAATCTAATCGTCTAATTCTTGTGCTTTGTATGCAGGTCATCGGGTTTGCCCGGGAGAAACTTACAGTAGATACAATATGTTCGGGATGATAGCCGCCCTGTTGCAAACCTTTAACTTCTACCTGGTCGAAGGTGAACCGTCGAGAATTAAAGACAACTTATCAGGTCTTATTATAACTCCGAAGGAATTTTGGGTACGATACGAATTGCGTTGATTTATCTCGTCCTCTCCTTCCATAACTCGAATGGTATAAACTTGATATAATTGACACTTATTTTGATAAAGAATTCTTGGTCCGTCGTTGCAAGACGGCCGAGAGTCTTAAGTGTATCAGTTGTTATCATTCGATAATTACGTGAAATCATAATTACGACGAATTTGAAAGCAAAAATATTGTTCATTCAATACCATGACACATATTTACAGATTTTTAAATGAAGAGATATTTAACTATTCTTTAGATTTGCGATATTGAACGGATTATTGTCCGCGAATGCATGTATTATAATATAATTTAATTGCATATAATCATATTATATCATCATCTTATATAATCATATTATATAAGTTTATATTATATAAGATATATATATATAACAGATTATTGTCCGCGAATGCATGTATTATAATATAATTGTATATAATCATATTATATCATCATCTTATATAATCATATTATATCATCATCTTATATAATCATATTATATCATCATCTTATATAATCATATTATATAAGATTATATACAATTATATTATATTATAATACATGCATTCGCGGATAATAATCCGTTACATATATATATATAAATAATATGATTATATAACTTCATATAACCAATCGAAAATCAATTCATCATTCTTTAAGCTATATTTTATGATGCGCGTACATCTAATATATATGAGTACACGTACGTACGTACATACATACATACATACATACATACATACATACATACATACATACATACATATATAAGTATGGTTACGATAACGCAATTACAAATACTAAGTAATACGAGACTGGATGATATCAATAAAATTATGTGTATTTTTCAAAACTATATTTTAGCTTTCAAAATAAACTTCATGTGATCGGAGCAACATAAATAATGAGGCGATAAGTAACTGATAATTAATGTAATACAAAATACTTATGTCATATTTCGCTTGATGTAAATCAAGTTTCCAATGAAATAAATAACAATAGTATTTCATAATGAATCATGTCGACATGCACAATATGTAAAATAAGGTTACACAGCATACTTTACCTGAAGAATGTTCAGACGTTATCATTTTGGGATATTGTAATAATTGTAAAATATCCTAAGATAGTTGAAATCTCCATTGAATATCCAATATACAAGTGTGACGCCTATATGATATCGGATATCGATATACGGATATCTTAAACGACGTCCGAAGGATATCCGAAGAAACTTAAGAAATATCGTAAGATATATTATATATCCAGGTAGCAAACAAACATATGTCATATGTCGATAATTTTTTAATTACTGGATGTCGTTTTTGCGAACATATCTGTATTCTAATAGTTGTATTAATATTAGTATTCCTTAACGAGAAATGACTCGTCGAATCGACATCGATTTAGATATTGTGAGATTTCAATAGAATATTAGAATATCTCGGACATTTAAGACACTAGTGGGATCGCATTTAGAAATCTAGCATAATTTGGAACATCCTCAGAATGAAGTGTGCTGTATGAGATAATTTCTCTCTCTATTGGAAACTTTGATGTTAATGGCCAAAACGAATGTACAAAATCGTGAGAAGTCGTACAAAAGAAGAAGAAATAATGAAACGGTATGATCAATCACAGAACAGTTGCAACATTTTTTTCGCAATGAGTTTCGCACCGCATCTCGTGTCCAATAGGAAAAGATATCCTCCTGAGAATTCCTAAAGAACTTCGAATTCTCTGAATGCGGGATGCATTCTGAAGCTTATAGGAAGAAAATATTGCAACCGTTTTATGACTGACTGTATATACACGGTGACCCATTTTAATCGACAAACGGAGATATCTCCGAAACTACGCAACCTACGAAAAAAATGTTCGGATAAAAGTTGTCGAGGACAGTGGGGGAATCTACATGTACTAATGACTTTGAGGTCAGTTTTCAAGGTCATTTCAAGGTCAAGGTCACTTTTTTAAATGGAACCCCCTATTTTTAATGCCGGATTCAGAAAGAGCGAGAAATTTTACATCCAGATATGTATCAAAGTATAAGGTTAACGTGATTTCCATAGGTCAAATGAAGGTCAAGAAACCACCACTACCAAACCCCAAGCAGGCTAAACCACCTAACTCTGGGAACAGCCAGTTTAATCGTTTCTTTTTCTTTAAAATAAATTGAATTCCAATCCAGACTCACAAGCTCGTGCATTATTTTCGTTGTATTCATGATGTCAATGTTGTCGAACCAGATTTCTATCACGAGCTTATTGAGGTAGGTTTCGAACTGCTCAGTTGTTAGAATGTCTTTCATCTGGAAAACATTTAGTAAAAGCCTTCATGTAGCAAGGTAGTTATTGTGGCAAACTATTATCTAATTTTATTTGCAAGGTAGCCTGCCATACTGAGAAAGTGGCTTTAAAGAGAGTTTAATTTGTTCAAAAAATTTGTAATTAAACTATACGGGGCAACATTTAAAATTATTAATTCATCAAATCTGAAGTGACGAAATATCTTTCTTACGTTTGAACTTGAAAGTTTGACCTATGGAGGTCACGTTAACCTTATACTTTGATACATATCTGCAAGTAAAATTTCCCGCTCTTTCTGAATCCGGCATTAAAAATAGGGGGTTCCANTGTTCAAAAAATTTGTAATTAAACTATACGGGGCAACATTTAAAATTATTAATTCATCAAATCTGAAGTGACGAAATATCTTTCTTACGTTTGAACTTGAAAGTTTGACCTATGGAGGTCACGTTAACCTTATACTTTGATACATATCTGCAAGTAAAATTTCCCGCTCTTTCTGAATCCGGCATTAAAAATAGGGGGTTCCATTTAAAAAAGTGACCTTAACCTTGAAATGACCTTGAAAACTGACCTCAAGATCAAGGTCATTAGCACAAGTAGATGATCCCCACTGTCCTCGACAACTTTTATCCGAACATTTTTTTCGTAGGTTGCGTAGTTTCAGAGATATCTCCGTTTATCGATTAAAATAGGTCACCGTATATACAACGATTTTCCTAATTAGTATAACAAGCAACTTACGTTTTTAATCTGTCTTTTCTCATAAATTTCTGTTACATTAATTTTACGGCTATTTATTAATTGTACAGGTTAAAAGAAAGTATCTGGATATTTTTACAAGTGTGCTGAATCAATCATGAGTGTTATTTTGTGCATATATTCTTTTTATTTCCGTATATACCGTTATATCACTTAGTATGATTTATTTTGCTTCTGATGTTATTAACCCTTTACACTCTGATGTCCCCTCTGAGGAAATATCGCAAGTCTAGCGAACCACTCGGATATCCCCTCTCAGGGGACATCAGAGTTTATTAATGATTAAAGAGGATGAGCTTATGCCGCGGCCATTTTTTTGAAAATTGCATGTTTCTTTGAAGTTTTTTATTGAAATGGCACAAGAAAGCAAGTCAAAATATGGTATATATAGAAAAAATAAGATATATGGAAAAAATGTCAGCCGGCATTACGTCGAAGCGGAACGTTTGTAATGCATTCATAGCAGCTAAACAACAAGCTGTACATTTTAAACGTTGGAGGAAGAAAACGGGACTGCATTGTCTGCTCACACAGAGAAATACCGGGTAGGAGACGACAAATTACTTTTGTTCAACGTGCACCAACGAACCCGCGATGCACATCGGTGGCTGTTTTACACGTTAGAAAACACATTAGAAAATTATAAAACATAAAATTTGTATCAAAAATGTGTTCTTTAATACTTAACGATTCATATAAACCAAGCCGCATGGAAATAAATTACTTGATTCCGAAAATAAATTATTTAATATGATTCCGAAAATAAACTATTTAATATGACGCAACTGCCGCCTGCGCGTCTTCCTCAGTAAATGACGCCGAGTTGCTGGTAGATATCTTTCAAAACAGCTCCGAGTCCAAAGAGTTAAAAATAGCCAAAGTGAGTGTTCAATATATGTACATAATGATATACATTACAAAAATAATTTCAATGCTATTTGTCTTTCTATATGTTTTTTGTCCTCTTGTTTGCTGCTTTTATGACTTCATTCCACTCACTGATATGCAAATACATCAGAATGATTCGAGAAATTCAAAGAGGAATGAGGAAAATTTATCAGTCTAAATCCATCGTTCGTTCAAGTATGTCTTCGATTTTGATTGCAGCAATCGTATTCCTGTTAGTGTATAAGTTCTACAAATTTACTTACCATAAACCGCTTAACTCACCACCAAGTAAGTTAATGTTAAGTTTGCACAGTTTTAACAAATTTTGCGCACATGTTTTGATTACATTTTTACACAGTTCCACTTTTAATTTGTTGTTAATTTAACTTTTCTGACACAGTGCCCAATATATGTAACAAATGTTACAATTTAATATCATGTTACATTTTAATTAATTCATTTAATTTAATTTCCCTAACAACACTTACTACACAATAAAATTTATGCAAAAACTCATGTGATATTAACACATTGCGTACGGATGACAAGATATCTCATTTTTAGCAAGCCGAACGTTCTGGTCGGGCGACGAGATTTCAGATTTCGTCGACTTAATCGATGACTTAAGGAATTAAAAATAGATTTTCTTGTTACGTTACCGGTACATTACGTTAGGATAATGAAGTCTCGCGCATTCTCGAAACAACTGGTTAGCGAATAAATGAATGTCCTGGAAACGTATTGAGCGATTAGAGTGCCGTACGCAATGTGTTAAATCAATTAAATAATGAAAACCAATAGAAATTAAACACAGGACCTTATTTGCAGAATATTATCTATTCTGATCGGTCAAATATAATAAAGTTTCGCAGACGAAAAAACATACAAACGATTTCGGTTGTATATCCGACACTTTTCTGTTGTAAAAAAGTTTGCGAAACTTTATGTAACTTTTAACTAATTATAATAGACAATTCTTCTTCTTCTTTCCTGGCACTTCAGCCTCATTTGAGGCCTACTTCTCTCTCTTTACATATGCGTGTGGTGCGCACACAGATTTACACATGCATATGGGACCTACACAAAGTTTTACGCCGGTTCCGAACGGCAGTTGGAGAGAAGTTTTCGTGGCACGTGAATACTCTTGATGGATTGCCAGCTCACCGAAGAGGAGCGACGAGCGTATGATAAAATTTTTCTGGTTCTACCGGGGATTGAGAACCCGGAAGACTCCTAGCATGATAGACTAGTGCGCTGCCTACCATGCCACGCTCGCGCTCTATAATAGACAATATTCCTCACATAAATTCCTGCGCTTAGCTTCTATTTCCTAGATCTGTGTGCGCGCGCGCACGTGTGTGTGTGTGTCCTGAACTCTATTTTATTAATTTATATTTAAAGTATTTTAAATATAGTTTCTCAGTTAAGCAAGTGGTTCCCAAGCCACTTTTAGAAGCACTATTATCGATAAGAGAGGTCGATAAGAGAGAATATGGGTGTATCATTCACAATTACTATTACATAACGATATCGGAAAATAGAAGCGCGACGATTACTTACTTGTGAAATTGTAATGTTCCTAACACAGGCATACCTAGGCTTCTGATATTAGGATGTTATTGGCTATTATTGTGGGGTAACTACTTCTTCCCATATAAGACTTTCACGTACTATGTAAAGAAATTGAAATCGAAGACCATCGGCTGTTACATGGGCAGTTTTTGGACGATAGTAGTTAACGATCATGCCAGCATAAAGGAAGTACTCAAGAGGGATGAATTCAAAGGTCGAGTTACGGAAGTGCCAATTGTAAAAGACCGATCTTTTGGAAAGATGTTGGGTAATAAGAGAAAATGTTTCTATTGTCAAATTCAATTATACGATGTATGACTTTTTTTGTAAATTAACGTATTTTTACCTCCTTCCCTCTAAAGAAATATGTCTTTAGTTCACACGATAGAGTTTCACGTCAATGAAGATAGTAGACTTTTCCCTTCGCACGGAATTTATAATTAATTTTAATATAAAATTGTAGGTATAACTTTCACCGATGGTCCATTATGGCATGAACAGAGGAGATTCTTTCTTCGTAATGTACGGGATTTCGGATTCGGACGGCGACAGGAAGCCTTCGAGAGAGAGATTTTGGACGAAGTATCTCTGCTTATCAATATCTTAAAACACGGACCTATTTACGATGGAGAAAAGGTACGTGTATCCTAATAGATAAAGGCCGTTTCACGAAGAGATGATCAGGTGGAAAGAAGGAATAAAAAATCTTGTTCTTCGTAGGAAATAATAAAAGGCAACTTGGCGCTCTTTCCAGACATTCTTTATTCGACAATAGGTAGTTCTTTGTGGAAGGTTTTATTCGGTCAAAGATTTGATAGAACCGAACACGACATTCCACGGCGGGTATGTCGCCTATCCATGATGTTTGTAAGATCGCTCGATCCGACAGGTGGTGCGATCTTTTACCTACCTTTTTTAAAAATCTTCGGAAACATGTTCGGATACAAAAATGCAATAAAATCAACTTATTTGCTAGCAAATATCATCCAGGTAAATCCTTTTATCAAATAACGTGTACAATCGTAGGTAAAAAATGTATTGTGAAACCTATTTTTTGGAATAAATTTACGCTGGAAGAGAAACAAAGTATTATATTGAGTACACACTTCGATGGAAGCGTTTTATTGTAATTCTGCATTTTTGTATTTAGGAATATTTGAAATCCCTAGAGACAACTTTCGGCGAAAATGTTGATAGAGGATTCGTCGACAGATATCTGAACGTATTGAACAAAAACGATAAATCGCAATATTTCTCAGAGAAGCAAGTAATCATGATGCTAACTGATGTGATGCTGGCTNTTGTTAGCTACGTGCACTACCATTCCAACTACTATTACCCAAACCATCAGGCTCCTGATAAACCATCCTATGGTCTTGAAGAAAGCGCAAGATGAGATAGATAAGGTCGTTGGCACTGGACGTTTGGTGACATGGAATGATAGAAAGAAGTGAGTTACGCAACCGAAACCTATAAGATATCCCAGCGAGAAATGAACCATCGAATCAACATCATGACATTAAAACATGATAAATATGGATAAATAGAATAAAGCATGATAAATATGGATAAATATAGAGTTTCTGAATACATACATAATAAGATGATATAAATAAGTATTATATATCATATAATATATAAAGTACACATATAAGGTGAGTCACCTAACATTAGAACCTAACATATCTCCGTTATTCTTGATGATACGGGAAAATATCTAAGCAAGAATGTATTTGTTTCGAAGGAACAAATATTATTTTAAGTAAAAAAATTTTTTTTGAGACCATGATTTTCGAAATTTCAACGTTATCAGTATTATGTTAAAATATTATTGGTGATCTTGAAATCTCGAGAATTTTTTAATATTTTTACTTATAATAATACTTACCCTTTCAAAGCAAATAATTTCTTTCTTAGACATTTTCTCATATCATTAAGAATAACGGAGGTATTTCAGGTTCTAATATAAGATAACTCAGTCTGTATAGCATTAGACACGAAAAATATCGCCTTGATGAAACGAATTCAATACATGATTTCGATATTATGATATCGATACATGATGAAACGAATTCGATAAATACTTACATGCACTCATCCGTAAATTTATCTTAAGTTCGTCTTGCACGTTTTCGTGCTGAAAGCGTCGTTCTATCTTTATTTCTCATTACACACTGAAGGAAAATAAAACGATGTTTTTAGCACGAAAGTGTGCAAGACAAACTTAGAGTTAATATATGCCTGTTACTTTGTCATACTAGACAATGTACAGTATACGAATTATTTTAATCTTTCTTTGAAGCTAGTCATTATTTTATTATCGTCAAATCAAGGGTCTTTCTCGATTTCGTTGCAGTTTGCCTTACGTGGAAGCGGTGATCCGAGAAGCGATGAGAATGTTGCCACTTTTCCCTTTAGGCATATTCCACAGAACCATCAAGGATACTACGCTGGGAGAGTACACGATAAAGGAAAATACGGCAGTTATTACTAATTTAACAGCGATGCATTATGATCCCGATCTGTGGAATGATCCCGAAAACTTTCGACCGGAGAGATTTTTAAATGAGAAAGGTGAACTGATCAAGGATATGTCGTTGCCATTCGGTTTTGGTGAGTAGTATATCGAGTGAGGGATAATAACTATTACTACCTTGAACATCTTTGAAAAATAAAAATGTATTCTTAACGACTAAATAAAGATGAAAAAATTTTGCATTTAGAAGTACTCGAAATGATGACCATTGGTATCAATGCAATTTCTGTTGGATAAATTTTCCTCTTACCTGGATAGATATATTTCGATATATTGTCCGCATACTGTGCGACTACCATAAGTACGTTAAGATGCGTTCTCATAGAACGAGCATTTTCAGTATATAAAAAAAGATTATCTGATGCCGTGAGAATTGCGGCAATATTGCGGCGATATTCTGATGTAATAAGTATTGTTGCTATTTTGCCAGAAAGAGAACACAATTAATCCGGAATTATTGTAATAATAAGAAGTTAATATTATCATTAAAATGATAACGTAATAAATTAGTATTCTTTAAAACAAACCTATTTTTAAACATGTTGTGCTTTTGCATAGCATCACAAAGCATATATTAAATATTTGCATGCTATGTTCAGCATTTTTGTCTATCTGAATACTCTCATATTTCGAAGATATTCAAAGTGGTAATAATTATTGATTAAGCCTCTATTGTAATTGCGATAGGATCCGGAGAATTCTAAAGAGACCTTCACAAACTAATCGTCCTTGTTTTATGTGCAGGTCATCGGCTTTGCCCGGGAGAAACTTACACTAGATACACCGTATTCGAGACATTGTCCGCTCTGTTGCAAACCTTTAACTTCTATTTGGTCAAAGGCGAACCGTCGGGCATCAATGACAACCTGTCAGGTATTCTGGTAACTCCGAAGGAGTGTTGGATACGCTACGAGTTGCGTTAACTCTACTTAGTTTTTTCCTGCTTCCTAGATGTATTTCGATATATTTCATTTAATTAAAAAATGCAAGGTACAATGATTTCTATGACGTATCACGCGGTATTTAAACATTGCACATTTATTTTACACGTGAGATAAATGTAGTTACAGTGTGCCTCATTAGAAACGAACGACGTACAAATTTTTGTCCAGAGGACGTATAGAAATCATGTGTGTCACATGGGTTTTTCCGCAAAATAGATTATTTACTACACTCCATTTTTTCGCATAAAACTCCCCATCTTCGTGATTTTATAATAACATTCATCAGTTTTGCGTGAAAGTAAATCTTATATATTACGGGAATTATACACTTTCTCTTTATCGAAGTAGAAAGAAAACGGTTGTCTATCTATATCTCAAAAAGCACTGTGGTTGCGGACATGTTAGCAATAAGAATTAATTCCTTAGTCCTTATCTCAGTAGTTACACGCCTGACTATTTATGAGCTCGCCACGCGGATGTTGTGAGAGACTCGTCTCTCTGTGGTAGTTCTGACCGTGATGTGCAACTAGAAATAGCAACGTCCGAAGCGAACGTTCAAAATGTCTGAAGAATATGCAGGCGTTTCCTTAAATACATTCACGACATCTGGATACAGGTTCTTGGTGTAATGACTCTTGTAATTGTCGATGTAACCGGACAAGTATGATCGGACTTCAAAGACAATGTATATTATAACGTAATAAGAATCTAATGCTGAAATATGTACAAAGAAATGTGTTTCAACCCGAATCTTCCATATTTCGTATTGTAAGACTCAGCGATATGTGTGTGTGTATGTATATATAAATATATAAATATATATATGTATATACATAAACACACACACACACACACACACACACACACACACATACACACACACACACACACACACGTACATACATATGAATATATGATTACCTAAATAATTATGCAATGTTCAAACCACCATGTATTCTCTGAGGCTGTTGATGACGGATTCGTCGCAACAACGTTTCAACATAACATGAGCGATTTTATTATTATTCTCTGTGTACCAAAACATACAAACCAAGACATGCCAATACTGCATACTTAAACTTAGGGTACTCGTTCATATATATAGTGACCATGCCAACGTACGGTAGAAAGCCTCTCGCCCGGCCAACGACGTCCTTGTGCGTCAGCCACAGCTGACCAGGTGCGTACAAGCCTCTATCGTCCACGGAATTGTTGTCGCCCTTCGTGAGGAACTTGACTGTGTTATTTTGGTCACCCCTGTAAAATTGTCAAAACCATAAAATTGTACTCTGCACTATTATGAATGTTTTGTTGACAGAATTCTTACTTTTCGTGAAGCTTAAGTACTCTATGCACAATAGGTATATCCCGTCCCTCGACTTTGAAAACTACAATTTCGCCTACTCTCACTGGTTCATCCTCATAATTGGTAAGGAAGAGTAAGTCGCCCCTATGAAATGCAGGCTCCATACTACCACTGTGAAAAAAATAGAAAGGACAGTTAACATCAATTTAGTAGATAATCAGCTTTGCATCACGAATATTTCTATAAGTTTTTTTTTTAACAAGATTATATTGATCCTACGTTACTATAAACATTGTTAAGGAAGTCTTAGCCAAATATAAGATGAACTTGTAATATATATATACACAATATATAAGTTAATCGAATTAACAATGTGTAACAGAAATTTCAATAATCTTGACCGTTTGGTTTTGAAAATACAATAGTGGTATATTTTAATTTATAATAGTGTTTATAATTTATAATAGTGTTCGAGATACATATATGTAAGCATATATTTAAATATTTATATACTTCTTTCTATTATCTATACATCTCTATTAGATCTGATGCAATACTACTGAAGCATACATATAGTATTAATAAGAATAACAAATATTTTCATACTTATTGTGTATATATATATATTTATCTCAACTTCGTTTCACATTAATATTTATTATTTGGTTATAAATGTATATAAAAAAGTGTACAGAAGAGAAATTCTGCTTGTTAAATGGTAAATTGATGAGAGGCCCCCTGATGCATCACTGGAAATATAGCCCTGAGCTTCCACAACTTCTTGAAATTTTTGCTACTATTTCTATATTAGATAGAAACCCCTCAAATGAAACTTGCATAAAATGTACATAAGCACAGGACAAAGCTATTATTATATTTACTGTCATGGCTTATATCTATGACGAGATAATACTTTTTTTAAATTAAAAAAATACAATTTGAATACAAAGATATTTAACATGTGCAAAGTCACAAAATCTCACAACATCTGTATGAGATGACGAGTGAATTAACCCTTTGACTGCTGACTGCTCTAAGTTGAAGCGCTTCGCGTGAGCGGCGTGCGGCCGGCAGTAGCGATCGCTGGGGACTAAATACTTTTGCGCACAATATGGATCTTATCGGCGGCGTATTAACACATTATAATATAGTACATAATCCAATTACTATTACTTTGTCCACTGCAAAATGAATCCAATCATTTTTTTATTTTCAATATATATTGTTTATTCACCAATAGTAAAGTTTTAAAGCGCCATAATCTCATAGTTATAATGTATGTGTTTGGATATTGGAAATTGACAAATTGAACGAATAACAAGTAAGTAACATAAATACTCTATATATAAACAAAAGACATGAGACAGCAGTAAACAGCCAAAGCCTTCGCCGAGCGCGCATTTGCGTCCATAGTCCACATCGATGGCTTGCGCTGGACGCACATATGCGCCCATAGGCCACACCGATGGTTTTCGCCGGACGCATATATGCGCCCATAGCAGTCAAAGGGTGAAAAAAAAACTGGCTGCGTTTGGCAGGATGAAACCAATACGAGGATATACGCTACACGGTGATTAGGAAGTTAGGTTAGGTCAAGCTGCCTCCGTACCTCAACACCACCACAATAGGGCTCTCGCTGCCGGTGATGACCATCAGACCCTTCCATATCATCAGCGCCGACGAGACTATCATGCCAAAGCTCAGCACTTGATACAGGAACTGAAAATTGCGAGAACATCAAGTTTCCTTCCGTATGTCACGCCACCATATGTGACCACCGTTCGACCGTGACGTTGAAAACAATTTACCTGGCGTTTATTCATTCGCCGGACATCGTCGAATATCGACTGCAACATCGTGTAGGTCCGATGCTCAGGGAACAATGAGAAATGTCAGTTACGTGGTGATCACGTTCAGTTTCTTTGATTCAAGCACAACACCGGTAACCCGTATCAGTTACCGTCCAACCACCGCCACCACGTCATGTAAACACTGAACAGGGAACGACGAATCAATAGAACGGCGGAACGGTCAGAATGTCGCGAACGTTGACCGGAAAAAAGAGTACCGAGAAGGGTAACATCCGGTTTCCAAAAATCCGCCACGTGTTCCGAGACGCCAGCTGGTATCACCGACGAGATAACAGCTAGAAGACAATGTTATCCGCGGATGATAATTGCGAAAGTGTAATTTAAATGCTCCGTGAACGAATACACATATATTTACAAAAAAGACACCGTGTACAACGGCAAATAATTCACTTCAAGTCTGAATTCTGTTTAAACATGACTCAACCAATTTCTAACTAAAAACTACCAAGAACGGTCGGTAATGCCGACGTTCTACAATTATCTCTGATACCTTGGACAATAGGCGTTAGTTTACAAATACCGATCATTTTGACACATACAAAGCGGTTTAGTATAAAATTACTAGTTAGTACGCGTAAACGATCAGTGTAAGTGGGACGAATCGCGGAAACCTCTGTAGTCTTTGATAGTTTCCTGTCGAAGTTCCTGATAAAATCGCAACCGTCTGCGTTCTCAATTTAAATCGGATATTCGCTGTTACACTTATTAACCGAAATGGCTCAAGCTGTCGCAACGACGAGCCAATCAATCAGATCGCACAGCAAGATTCACGTTAGCTATTATTACGATAGTAAGTAATCAGAAATATTGTTACCGTATTTCGTGTGATTCGCGTCAGCTTTTATCTTAGCTCAGCTAGATGTCATCCACAAAGTACTGTAGTTGAAAAGTAATAGAATGGAATATCCTTTTTCATTTGATAATACAGTTTTCGAGGCGTTCAGTCGACAAATTCTCAGGTGCGCTCACGCCGTAGTCGCGCGAGGCAGGAATAATGGCCAATTGTTAACGATTTGGAAATCTTTGATGTAATCAAAATACTTTCGTTTACCGTGCTCAGTAATGTGGCAGTCTAAATATTTTCCCGATTGCGATCAATAATTGCCGTCTGATTTCCCTCAGCAAGGCTGTCGTAGAAATTTGATCGTATAAGAAAAAAAAATACACACACAGAATATTTTAGGAGTTGTTTTTAAATGCACATTGCAACTTATATAATATCGTTTATCTTAATAACTGTTAATATTACATTCAAAGTTTTGTTATTATCACGAAGCAATGCTTCGTGTGGAGCAAAACAAAAAAAAAACAAAACCGAGGTCGAGATGATTGTAGATATTATGAGATATGGAAGATTATATGAGATTTTTGACTAATACGAATTGCAAAGAGTAATCTGATACACGATTTAAACTTTCGGAAAATATAATTATACATATGTATTAATCCTAGCTCACCACATTCCAGTGGACCGCTGAACGTTTTTCGGCTTTCTAGTTTTTACATGATGTACTATTTCTTTTTTCAAGTATCAGGTGTAATGGATGAACATTACTTCTTCTTAGATCGCGCTTGCAAGATTGCAAAACATTTGAAAATTTTTTCCGAAAACACTATTTTTTATGATAGTAAATTTCGCTTAAACCTAAACCATTGCCTTGGCCTGATATCAGAAACATGTTATTCAGACTCGATATTTCCAATTCCACACTTAAAAATATTAATTAGAAAATGACAAGACGACAAAGCCGAGCAGTCTCAATATGGCGAATCACGGACTGGAAAATAAATGTGGTTAGCTAGGGTTACATTTTGCAAGCGCCTCCTTGATTTCATTTACGTACGTGTAACTTATATGTCCAGATCATTTTCCATATTACTATTTTGTGCCAAAGCACTTCATGAAACCGTATCGTTTGAAGATAACGCAAGATCTGATTTCAAGCTACGGACTTTTAAAGAAAATGAGTATACACGTAAGAATGTTTTCATATTTTTTCATATTTTTTTCATTTGCTTACACAAAATGGACATTTAAACAATCCATATATGTAATTAGCGACCTTACCGTGCCACAGTAAATGATATGATAAAATTCCACGATGAAGAATATATCGATTTTTTGAGTTTCGTAAAACCAAGTGACTACAACAGGTATAGGAAAAAAAAGCATAAATGTAAGACATTATTATAGATGCAAATAACTGTGTTGTGTGTAAAATTAAAGTTGAAAATTCTTGAGAAATTAAAAAAAAAAAACATTTGGATGTTTCTTTTTTCTTTTGTGACAGACGGTTTAAAAACTAAAGATTGCCCCATTTTTCACAACATATTTGAGTATTGTCAATCATTCACGGGTGGAACTATAGCTGCTGCTACGGAGCTCAACAGACAAGCCACAGATATCGCCATTAACTGGAGCGGCGGCATGCATCACGCCAAAAAAAAAAATGCATCGGGTTTTTGCTACGTAAATGACATTGTGCTTGGAATTTTGGAATTGTTGAAACATCACTTCAGAGTATTGTACATTGATATTGATATTCATCATGGCGATGGCGTGGAGGAAGCTTTCTATACAACGGATAGGGTGATGACAGTCTCGTTTCATAAGTTCGGCGACTACTTTCCTGGAACTGGTGATCTCAGGGATATTGGAGTGAATGAGGTGAAAAATATATCGAAAACAATTCCGCCGAAAGATAGCTAGTCATCGTAAAATGTATTTTGGTATCTTTCTGTCATTAACAGGGAAAATATTATGCCGTTAATGTACCTTTGAATGAAGGAATAAGTGACGACAATTACGAGGCAGTGTTTGTTCCCGTTATTTCAAAAGTGATGGAGACCTTTCAACCTAACGCCATTGTTTTGCAATGTGGCGCGGATTCATTAGCGGGTATATAAGATTCCTTAAATGAAACCGTTACTATGACTTGATTGCGCAGCCTTTAACGCAAATAATTAATTAATCGATGTAGGGGACCGTCTGGGGTGCTTCAACTTGTCAATAAGGGGTCATGGAAAATGCGTGGCATTTATAAAATCATACAAATTGCCTTTATTGTTGTTGGGAGGTGGCGGTTATACAATAAATAATGTGTCCAGATGTTGGACATACGAGACGTCCATAGTTGTAGAACAGGAACTTTCGAATGATCTCCCATATAATGAGCAGTTTGAAAGATTCGGTCCTGCGTACAAGCTACATTATGACACTAATATTATCATACGGGATAAAAATTCATCGAACGATCTTGAGAAAATAAAGTAAATGAAATTTTTTTTTTTCGTAATTTTTACGTTAGATTTAATTCGCATGTACATTACAAGCGGATTATTTGGTGACTATATTATAATCGTAGACAAAAGATATTTGAAAACTTGAGGATGCTACCTTCCGCTCCTAGCGTGCAATTTCGGGAAACTAAAGAGAACAGTAATGACGAGCAGACAGTTGACGATGAGACTAATCCTGATGAAAGATTGCCTCAAAGAGATTTGGATAGGAGGATACAAGGTGAAAACGAGTACAGTGATAGTGAGGACGAAGGAGAAGGTGGACGAAAGGATAATATGTCATTCAGGTTAACTGTTCTTTATATTTTCATGTCAATAGAAACAATGCGTCTATCTATAATTTGTTTTATCTAGAGAACAATAAAATCGAGTGAGCAGCTTTGTCAAAGCGAAGATTTCCCCATGGTATCCGACAAAGTACAAAATCAACCAAGACATCTTTTTAATGCTTGATATTTCCGGCTTTTGATATTTTAAGAATCTTTAAACGAGGCTTTTTAATTGTTTGGTAACACGAAAACACGGTTGGAATATGTTACCTCCTTTAGTTTTCCTTATAACGCGTATGTCTTAGTATAAAAACTATATATGGTTTTTTACAGGTGAATAAAAACAAGCTGACAAACTACCAATTTGCTAATTCCCCATTCTACACGACTTAATCAAACGTTGTGGGATAAAACAAAACTGATCATTAAAGCGCGTCATCATCAAAACTGATATTCCTAAAGCATGTTATTAAACTTTCAAACACGCAAATTCATCTCAACAATGACTCAGTAATATACGCAGAAACGGAGAGAACTACCAATTTGCTAATTTCTCATATTACACAACTTAATCAAACGTTGTGGGATAAAACAAAACTGATTATTAACTGATATTCCTAAAGTGTGTTATTAAACTTTCAAACACGCAAATTCATTTCAGCAATGACTCAGCAATGTACTTAGAAACGGAGAGAAAGCATCGATTGATTCGAAGAATAAGAATTATATAATTTTACATATAACTGTAAATTGTGAATAATTTTATATATACATATAAAATTATGATATATAATTGTGTATATTATTGTAAATTTATACTTTCACATTATGAAAAAGTGTGTAAAGAACATGTTTTTAGATGACAAAAAAAAAGAGGAAAGGAGGAATGCGAAATTTTGTCACAATATCTTTTTGAACAGTTTACTAAGCTTTCTCTGTACATTAGTTATAAGCTCTGGAGTTTCTTCCGAAACGGAGGACTTATATTCGGTATTACATAAAAGATATTACAATTATCCTATATACAAGAACACTTACCTATGTAAAACAAAGGCAAACTTCGAATCGAGATGAAAACTTCTTGGGAAGAAAAGACTAGCGTTACGTCAATCGCGTCTCCAACTTTCTCACAATTTCCAATAAGGTTTTCATCTGCACGTCCTTATGCAGTCTATCCTCCAACTGTTCCAACGCTACGCCACCTTGCATAAACTCCTTCAAGTTGTAAAAAGTGCCGTTCTCCAACCTGTGATCGGTCACACGATCCTGGCTGTAATTGTACGTCCGGACTTTCTCGTTTCTGAGCCCCATTCCCATCTGTTTCTTTCGCAGCTCGCTTACGAACGACGTCTGCTGGTTCAATTGCTGCTCGTACAACATACTCCTCAGCTTCATTATCGCCAATTTCTTATTCCTAATTTGCGACCTGTCCACTTGGCACTCTACGACTAGCCCGCTCGGCATATGGGTTATCCGCACCGCGGAATTTGTCTTGTTCACGTGCTGACCACCTGCACCGGAGGCTCGTTTCGTCTCCATCTTTAAGTCCTTGTCGTTAATCACAACCTGCACTTCCGATGGTGTCGGTAAAATTGCCACCGAGGCGGTGCTGGTGTGCATCCTGCCTGACTTCTCCGTGGCCGGTATTCGCTGTACTCGGTGCACACCACCTTCGTACCTCAACTTGGACACTTGTTCACCAGACATTATGATGCTGACGTTCCTAAGACCATTGCAATCGGTCGAGTCTATATTTATCACATCGTAAGATAAACCCAGATATTTGGCATAGCCCAAGTACATTTCGTACAAGTTTTTAACAAACAGCATAGCTTCCTGACCTCCAACACCCCCCGTTATTTCGAGGATAATATTGTCGCAACATTTGTTGCACATTTTGTTCAATATCATACCCAACAGGCTCTTGTCCAGTTCACTCAATTGCTTCCTGTACAACGCATCTTCTTCTTCTGCTAACTTTTTCATCCCCGCATCCTGTTTTACTGTAAAAAGATATTCATCTTTATATATTGTGGATAAACAATGCAGAAGAGTAAATTCTCAATGACTAATACACATACATAATTGATGTTACATTTTGTAACATCAATGCTGACTTAATGCAATAAACTTTAAATACATCGATTACATTTATTTTCAGATGAGATGCAACGGACTAAATTTGACTAGTTTATATGTTGAGTTAAATATATTGTACAAAGAAAAATACAAAGAATGATAAACTTTCGATCCTTTGTTCATGATTGTAATTTTAAATCACATGAATTTAATGATATGACATATTATAATTACACTATTGGTTTATTCTTTTTAACTGAACTGGCTGTATTAATTCAAGAAATTTACATATACATTGAAGTGTATAAAGCTTATGTATGAAATTCTCATGCTTCAGTATGCATATATTTCCTGAACTAATGCAGCCAGTTCAGCTAAAAAGAAGAGATCAATTGCTTCAATATCCAGCATCAGCATATAATAATTAAGAATTGTATAATGAGAATATAACACTTATGTCACTTACCTAGATCATGTAAATTCTCAATATTTTCTAATAACTGTATCCTTTTATTTAACAAGCCACTAGTAGTGTTTAAATCAATCAATTGGAGGAGACTGTTATCTCTCAAGGTTTCATTCTTGTATTCATTTACAAGATAATCTAAACATTTTCTAATTCTATTATCCAATTGCTTTGGGCTCACATGCATACTAGACAAATTTCTGGCAACTTTTTGATGAAATAGCATCGGAAAACATAATTCACGAGTCTTCACAAGCTTCGTGTACCACCGATAATTGGTGAATCCGCACTTTCGTATTAGTAAAGACATCTTATGATCTTGTATCACTATTAATTTCTTTCCTTTCTTTTATAAAAATCTGTACTTTTTCCCTCTTACTAAAAATTTTTGGCTCATACGCTATTTCATTTTCCACGCTATAAAATGANTTTATGATCTTGTATCACTATTAATTTCTTTTCTTTCTTTTATAAAAATCTGTACTTTTTCCCTCTTCCTAAAAATTTTTGGCTCATACGCTATTTCATTTTCCACGCTATAAAATGAAAACAAATTGCTGTAACCAGTAATATTTCATATAAATCTATATAGATTTTATACTATCAAATTGACAATAAAATCTATCATGATTACCTTAAAAATTAACTTACAATTTCCATTAAACGCATATAATTTCTGAATTTCTGCTATCGGTTATTATAAATTGAAATAGAATAGAATCCAATAAACATTTTAAAGTATTCGCAACACATCATGACATCATAGATATTATGTATAAAAAATACTTTGATGCCTAGAAAACGTCAAACTGCATACCGTAGTATGATATGAATTGTAAAAAAGTTATGNATGTATAAAAAATACTTTGATACCTAGAAAACGTCAAACTGCATACCGTAGTATGATATGAATTGTAAAAAAGTTATGAGTAATGCTTTCACTAATGAGAATATTCCATTTGACACGTCCAACCATAACGACTAATGATTGGATAATCTTAACGTTCCTAGCTCAACTGGCCAATCAATGAATTTTGCAATTGGACGTGATAAACGAGTATTAAGCGAGACTCCGCATAGTCCTAGTCTTCAATAGGTACTTTAAGCTTTAAGCCTTAAGCAATTAACCAATCACAATCGAATTATAAAAGAATAATCAATCGTGATTGATCAATTTCTTAAGATTTAGAACTTAAATTCTCACTATAGACCCTGCTTTAATTATTCTTTAATTATTCTTTTCACATTCGACTGTGATTGGTCAATTTCTTAAGGCTTAAGGCTTAAAATACCTATTGTAGACCGATACTATAGGTCTGTTCGTTTTCACTGCACTAGTTCAGCGGTACAGCGAAACGAACAGACCTTATTGTGGACAAGGACTGAAACCCGTATCAGACTATGGATTGGGGATTGAGATTTAGATCGAATTTGGCCAATCGGTACAAAATTAACCGAATTGAAGCTTAGCGAAATTTAGTGAACTTTGTACTGATTGGTCAAATTTCAATCTCAATCTCCAATCCGTAGTCTGATACGGGCATAACCCATCTTGTTCTCACGCACATCAAGGCAAAGTAGCGCCACCGTCGCGTTGTCGACCTCGGGATGATACAGCAGCGTGAACAGAGACATATTTTGTCGTGCGTTGTGTCGTTCTTTGTTTTCCGTTGCCCTACGTGCCCCCTGCGAAACGATCTCATACGGTAATAATCACGCGGGCCACAAAGTCGCACGGTCAAGAGTCATCGTGGACGAAAGCGCGAGCGCGCGTCGACGAGAAAGAACCAGCCAAGAGTAAGCGGCAACGACATCGGGCGACGGGCGCCATTTTGTGCGCTCGTTGCGGCAAGCGGACGTTGGCGAGGCGGACAGTGGGCCAGCGCGTCCACGAGGTACCGTTTCTACGACGCTGGAATTCCGCCGTAGCCGATACACGCACATCACGTGTTTCCCATCCCCGTGCCTCTCCT